TATTATTATGGTAACAGTAATGTATTATTATCATTATCATTAAACTACCAATTTCAACACACTGCTATCAATGACTCACCATATTGAGTTCTGAAATGGGACCCATGGACCTCAGACTGATATCAGCGTTCACTGTGAGAGCTTCACCTGAAGGAAGAAATAAAAGCCAAAATCGTCAAAGACTCCGATCATCCATTGTTGAATGGAAAATGATTGTTTTAGAGAGGTCAATGTCTTGCACAATGTCATTATAATATTTTAAAACCCCAAGGAAGGAAGTAGGAATTGGATGTTTGCACAGGTCATTGTCTTGGACAGGTGACCGTTAGAACAAGGTCGACTGCACATGAGGGGCGATGTTTTAGAGGGGGTGGAGAGGGGGGGGGACTAAAACTAAAATTACCTGGGCACCACGATGTAGTCTGGGTGAGCCTGGGCCTAATCACGTATTCCACAAACATGTTTCATTCATTCATTCATTCATTCATTCATTCATTCATTCATTCATTCATTCATTCATTCATTCATTCATTCATTCATCCATTTATTCATTCATTCATTTATGTACTCATTCATTCATTTATTCATATAACTATATACGGCTGATGTAAATTTCTCAGTCTTTTTCAATAGCCTTTTAGAACATGATCGGTTCTTCAGAAGATACTATATTAATGCTTCTCTTACATACCCCTATGCAACCAAGGAAGAAGCAGAGCATCCTTTTACATAGCTTTCAACATTTATCTAAAGGGAGGGCCGCAATAACACTAATTTTTATGCTATGTAAGAGTCACAGAATATGGTTCGATGAGCCTCGATTGGTAGGCGGGCCGCAAGTTTGAACCCCTTTTCTAAAAAAAGTCCAGCTAATTATTATCCTAATGCTCTCTGTCTTGGTCATTGTGGCAAGAAACTAGCAGTGTAACTGTTTGGTGTGTTACTTACAGGACTGGTCTATAAAGTAGTAGAATTAGTTGTCACAATTTTCGAACTAGGAGGTTCAGAGAGAGAGAGAGAGAGAGAGAGAGAGAGAGAGAGAGAGAGAGAGAGAGAGAGAGAGAGAGAGAGAGGGGGGGAGCCAGGAGAGAGAGGGGGGAGAGACAGAGAGAGGGGGGAGAGAGACAGACAAAGAGAAAGGGCGGGGGAGAGCGAGAGGGAGAGAGAGAGAAAGAGAGAGAGAGAGCGAGAGAGAGAAAGAGAGAGAATAAAACGGAGGAGGGTATTGAAATCGACCCAAAAAAAAGTTACAGAAAAAGGGTGTGAATAAAACAGAAAGACAGAAAGCGGCGAAAGAGAACAAAAAAGCAGTGTATTACACTGGGAGGAACACAATGTAATGCTGCAATAGGTCGTGGAAAATGGCAGAGAAACCGCCGCGAGGGAGGAGGAAGACAAGCACAGACTGGCGGAACTTAAGGAAAGAAGAGAAAGAGACGCCATCTTTGGAAAGCTAAAAAATGACACCCACAGGAATATAATAACTTTTTCCTTCCCCTACCAGTTTCCCCCAAACGGTTATTATGCTCATCCCACGCCTAAAATACTTTGCATTGAAGCCCCCCCCCC